AAAACCTAATTTGTAACATTTCATCTGATCAGAAAGATTTAAGAATCTGTGACTTTAGCCAGACGCATAAGATCACCACATTATGTTCATCACATGTTTAAAACTTACTTTTAAATGTTTAATAAATTAACAGCTTATTTCATTTTATATACTTTATTTGCAATCAATGGTATTTATTAAACTCATTTGTCTCATTTATCTAATACTTATATGTTTTATTGTTTAAAGTATAAAACTTACTTTTAAATACTTAATACTTTTAACATCTTATACCATTTATTTTATGTATTTTTATTAAACCACTATGCGTCTCACTTCTTAAAAACACTTTTTCATTCTCTCCCCCAGACATCATGGAGGATGACGTTCCATCTGAAAATCTGTGTCAGATTTCTTCATTTCATCATTCTGTGAACATTATCCTGCTGTAATAAAAGACATCCCCATTCCAAACATTCACCTGAACTAAAACATTCCTCTCAGTCACACCAAGCAAATTGCCCCGTCATAAACACACACACAAACACACAGCAATAAACTCCGGAAACACATGGTGGGGTCAAAGTTCACATAACATCTGGTGGTCATAAAACCCCCCTCCCATATGCACATCCTGTCATAAATATGTCATAATCATATTCATAAATATTTCATAAACCTGTCATAAAAATCATATTTCATAAATCATTTTTGACACAAGGTGCCCCATAATTACTACTCAGCAGAATCCATTCCCAGGAGTAAAGGAAGATGTCAAAGAAAGCAGTGAAAAATAGAAACAAAGCATTTAGGTTAGTTAAAAGAACACACAAGTATCATCATTTGATTCAGTATCAACAAGCTCCAGCAATAGTAGGAGGACAATCAGACAGACACAGATCATTCTGGAAGGGACACAATAGGAAAAGAGGATGGAATTACCCAGTTTGGACTGTAGGAAACGAGAATGCGATAACGAATAAGGAAAAGGTAGAGATGATGGCAAAGGTTTTGTTAGTATAAACAGTATAAACAGTAAATAGCAATAGAAATAACAAAAACACAGTATAAGGATGTGATATATAGCAGGAGAGATTATGGAGATGCTCCTTTAACATGGGAGAGTTGCAGAGAGCACTGGATAGGTCAGGGAAACGGCTCCAGATGAAGTGTGTTACACTATGTTAAAACATCCAAGTATAGAATTAATTATAGAGTTTATATAGCAAGGGTTAGGAGGAAGGAAGGCCTCCACAAAGCTGGAAGGAGGCAGTCATTATTCCAATAAGGAAGCCTGGAAAACATCCAAGTAATCCTGGCAATTACAGACCAATTGCATTAACATCGCATATATGCAAGATAATGGAACGCATGATAAATGAAAGACTAATATACTTTTTAGAGAGTAGAAATAAAATGGCTTTATGTCAAAGTGGTTTTAGAAAAGGAAGAAATACAATGATAAGTTTGGAGGAGGAAAGCACAAGTGAATAAGGAACTGTATAGCAGTATTTTCTGATGTGGAGAAAGCGTACGATATGTTGTCTCTTAGTCAAATTACATTTAATGGGAGTTGTAGGGAAAATGTTTAATTGGATTATGGATTTCTTAAATAAAAGGAATATACAGGTGAAAATTGGGGTAGATTTATCAAAGCAATATGTTGTAGAAAATGGGACAGCACCACAGGGGAGTGTGATTAGTCCAGCTTTATTTTCCATTGTGATTAATGATATTTATTTAAATCTTCCAGGGGATATAGGGAGGTCTTTATTCGCAGATGATGGGGCTATATGAAGAAAGCTAGAAATCTTGAGTATATTTTAAAGAAGATGCAGGAAGGAATTGCCTATTCCCCAAAGTTAGAAATTGGGGAATAAAATGGGGATTTAAATTCTGAGTGGAAACAACTAAGGTAATGGTTTTTTCAAATAAAAAGAAGGATAAGGAAATTAAGTTGAAAATGTATGGAAGTATATTAGAGAAAGTAGAATGTTTTCGTTTCTTGGGATTATATTTTGACACAAAACTAACATGGAGAGAACATATAAAGTATACAGTTAATACATGTAAAAGAAGTGCTAAATGTGATGAGGTGTCTTGCAGGGTTGGGATGGGGAGCAAGTGTTTCAGCTTTAAACTATATCTACATTGCTTGAATACGATCTAAGTTATGGGAGTGGGAGTAAGACGGTTATAAGTAAGACTATGGGAGTGTTGCATATGGGTCAGCAGTAAAGACAACATTAGCTGCATTGGACATTGATCAGTCGTGTGCTTTAAGAAGATGCGTGGGGCGATCACACTTCTCCAGTATGGGCACTGCAGGTGGAGGGAGGGGAAGTGCATGTGGCGTAGACGGAAACAGTTATCAGCAAACTATTGGATCAATCCTAGAGGCCACCAGGATAGTCATCCAACAAAACAGGTGTTACAGAAGTGCTGGGAAAAGGAGAGAAGAAAGAAAGTTTTGGTTGGACAGGGGATCTAATTGCAAAAGAAATGGAAGAGTATAATAAAAGATTTGCTAATACTGTGTTATGGCCTGCTAAACCAATTTGGACTTTGGAAATTCCGAACGTTGATCGAGAGCTTTTATCAATTAAAGGATGTAACAGAAATATAGATATAACCAATGAATATTATAAATATAAGAACTAGAAGTATAAAGACAGTATTCAGATTTTTACAGATGGGTCGAAGGACCTACAATCAGATGCAGCAGGGTCTGCGTTATACATCCCTAAACATTAGCAAAAGAACATCTGACAACCTAAATGCTTCTGCTGTTGAATTATGTGCTATTGCATTAGAATGGGTCGAACAATCCAGGGATAGCAACATTTTAGTATGTATTGACTCTGTATCAGCTCTTATGAGTATGAAGACTGGAAAAGCTAGTTGTCATCAAGAAATATTATATGAAATCTTGTTTATAAATTCAAGGGTATGTAGACAAGGGAAAAATATTATATATATGTGGATACCAGCACATGTGGGCATACAGGGAAATGAGAAAGTTGATAGATTGGTAAAAAAGGCAACAAAAAAAGAGCGTGTTGACATTGAAATCAAATTGTCAAAATCAGAAGGTAAGAATCTAGTGTGGAAAAAGGTGATGGAAATATGGTAATATCAATGGGATCATGAAAGTAAAGGAAGACATCTATACATGATTCAAAATAAAGTAGGTATTATAAGAGAGTTAGAAGGAAAGAGCAAGACTTCGGATTGGGCATAGTAAGTTATATGGAACTCTTTGTATTTTAGGAAAACATCCCACAGGTCATGTGACGAATGTCAAGAGGAGGAACCAGTCAGTCATGCAGGACATTTACACAAGAAAGCCAAGAGTTGAAACATCAGTTACAAGAAATAGGTATAGGACAATATAATGTAAAACATATATTAGAATATGGAAAAAGTGAACAGGGAAAGAAATATTTATTTTATTTTCTAAAGAGGACTGGACTGGAAAGACGAATATAAGTATGAAGTGACAAGATAATAAACAGCAGATGGCAATAATTCAACTTTTTGGATGCCAGCTGCCTTAAAACACCAAGGCATATCCACACACTCTCACTGCCTACACACACACACACACACACACACACATACACTAACATACAGATGGCGCTGTTCACCTGATCACAAACTCCTCAAACTCCACATATCGCTGTTGCGTGCGAGCGGCTCGTCAGCGGAGGAAACCGCTTCATAAACGCTTCATATAAAGCCTTTAATTACAGAGGCTCCTCCGGCGGCGCTGTTTAGGGCCGAGAGCATCTGAGGCTCCTGTGTTTCCAGCACCGGGACGCTCCTCACACACACTCACACACACACACAGCTGCTGGACTGGACTGCGCTGAACGCCGCTGGACACACACACACACACACACACACACACACAGCGGCTGGACTGGACTGCGCTGAACGCCGCTGGACACACACACACACACACACACACACACACACACACAGCGGCTGGACTGGACTGCGCTGGAGCTCGTGGCTTTGGTCAAGGGTTCAGATGCTGAGCTGACATGAGCCCTTCAGAGAGAGTATTTCTGCTCGGCTATTTATTCCTGCAGAGTCCTGCTCCTGGACTCCCTCTGTGTAATTTCCCCGTCTGAGTCGCGCAGCTGCAGTGCCGTGGCCGAAGTCTGTAAAAGATCTCGCTCAGGAGGCTCAGAATAACTGCGTGTACACGTGGATCTCCGAGAGGCACACACACACACACACACACACACACTGAGGTCAGCTGGAATAACGAGCAGACGAAGGCCCAGGTTTGCAGAAGCTTACTTGTGAAAGCGCTTTATTGATAAACAAAGACAGATTAAAAAACCAGCACCACATACAAAACGACTGATCTCTTGTGAAACACATGGCTTCAACATTTTAGTCCTCACATTAGGTTAATTTAATCTTCGGTTTCTAAATCGGTTTCCAAATTTCAATCTTAACCGTTCTATTTCATCAGAAACGATCTTAAAACAGGGCTTTAAGTGTAAAATACCGAACTTGTCCTTTAATGCTTAAACAAAAGAGAAATTGTCAGTTTTGTAAATATCTAGGCAAACTGGCCCGTTGTCATTGAGCGAGAGGACGTTAGTAACGTACGCATGGCACAAAAGGATATATATATATATATATATGTGTGTGTGTGAATAGGGTTAAACTGATCTATAAATGATTATTTAACCTGTAAACTGTCACCTCTCTTTATGAACATAGATTCAAACTCAAGTTGCAATTCATGAATGCTTTGGTTGGTCAAAAAGATAATAGCAAGCAGACACAGCAAATGTTCTGAACTAAACGTTTTATATTTTTTATTCTTAACAAAATAATTTGAAGTCTAAAATTGCTAGAAAACCAAAGTGTTACAAATTTGAAGTTGATTGAGGATCCTGTGAGATTTCTTTGCCACCTGTGTTATTCTGTATGAAACATGACACCGACCACGAGGGGGGGGCTGATATTTTAAGGTGCATTTCCATGGTAACACAACACCTAATTCCTGATAATTACTAAAATATGTGACAGTCAACAGGTTAAATGAAGAGGTTTCATTGAGTCGGAGGCGGGGTCGGAGGCGGAGCTCAGGGGTTTCATTGAGTCGGAGGCGGGGCTCAGTACGGACGCAGATGTGGGTTGGGCCTGTGCTGCTGAGCGCTGAAATACGTTTGATAGGCCAGCTGTGAGCCGAAGCGGAGCGCAAGCAGACGGCAGGGAGAGAAGTCTTCACAGATCTCGGCCCGGCGCTCGGCTGGAGACTTCATCCTGAAAAACACACATAAGACACATAAGACTGAAGGAGTGTCATCAACGACTGACGGCACGGCACTGATCTAACTGAGCGCATCTGTGTTCACGTAGAAAAAGTTATTCTCATCCACCAACTTGAGCTTTTTTTTCCAGAAATGGCTCCTTGATGAAGGCTCTTTGTTGTTGGTGTTCCCTTTCGAGGGAACTCTAAGCTGTGTCCAAGTACTGACACTATGGGAACGCTCCTGCAGGATTGTGTCTGAACGTGACGGCGTACCATGGAAGCTATAAAGGATTCCCAAAACACAACAGCTTCTGTGTTTTCAGCAAGCACTCTATGTCAACTGTCTCAAGTTTCTATTTAGATTTTAGATTTAGGTTTAGATTTCCCTGTGCACTCGCTCCATCACGGACAGGGATACACACAATCTCTGCGTTGTCTTTTTGGGAGCGGAGCACGTATGGTCTGGGTGCATGATAAACAGGAAATCCTAGCCAATTACAACCTCCACGTTGGGGCCAGCCACTCTTTCCAGATTCCAGGTCCTGGAACAAGCCTTTTTCTGTCCGACTCTTTAGCCCTATGGTCTCAAACTCTAAAATCATGGGGCTGAGTGAGCATGGGTATGAGGCGATAACCAGGGCTGGAGAGGCTTGCGAGTTATCTCTCCCCTGAGGCGGCATCGTTCCTCAAGGCCCTAACATTGGCCACCAAGCCCTGCAGAACAACATCTAACTTGGTTGGCAAAGCTTATGTGGCAGCAGGGCATCTTGCAGGCATACCTGTCATACCTGCCTGCTCTTGAGTGTGTTATATCCACCAGACTGCTCAGTGGCGTAAGACTGAACAGATGCTGCTGTGCTTCAGTTCACCCGTGCGGGTTTCTCTCCAAGAGGACTCGCACTAGGACTCACACTAGGACTCTCGCACAAGGACTCACACTAGGACTCACACTAGGTCTCTCGCATAAGGACTCACACTAGGACTCACACTAGGACTGTCGCACTAGGACTCGCACTAGGACTCTCGCACAAGGACTCACACTAGGACTGTCGCACTAGGACTCGCACTAGGACTTTCGCACTGGGACTCTCGCACTAGGACTCACACTAGGACTGTCGCACTAGGACTCGCACTAGGACTCTCGCACAAGGACTCACACTAGGACTCACACTAGGACTCTCACACTAGGACTTTCGCACTAGGACTCTCGCACTAGGACTCGCACTAGGACTGTCGCACTAGGACTCGCACTAGGACTCTCGCACTAGGACTCTCGCACTAGGACTCGCACTAGGACTCTCGCACTAGGACTCTCGCACTAGGACTCGCACTAGGACTGTCGCACTAGGACTCGCACTAGGACTCTCGCACTAGGACTCTCGCACTAGGACTCTCGCACTAGGACTCGCACTAGGACTCTCGCACTAGGACTCTCGCACTAGGACTCTCGCACTAGGACTCTCGCACTAGGACTCTCGCACTAGGACTCACACTAGGACTCTCGCACTAGGACTCTCGCACTAGGACTCGCACTAGGACTCTCGTACTAGGACTCTCGCACTAGGACTAACACACTAGGACTAACACTAGGACTCACACGAGGATTCACACTAGGACTGTCGCACTAGGACTGTCGCACTAGATCTAGCACTAGGACTCTCGCACTAGGACTCTCGCACTAGGACTCTCACACTAGGACTAACACTAGGACTCACACGAGGACTCACACGAGGACTCACACTAGGACTGTCGCACTAGGACTGTCGCACTAGGACTGTCGCACTAGGACTCTCGCACTAGGACTCTCACACTAAGACTCGCGTACTAGGACTCTCGCACTAGGACTCGCACTAGGACTGTCGCAATAGGACTCGCACTAGATCTAGCACTAGGACTCGCACTAGGACTCTCGCACTAGGACTCGCACTAGGACTCACACTAGGACTCACACTAGGACTCTCGTACTAGGACTCTCGCACTAGGACTCACACTAGGACTCTCGCACTAGGACTCTCGCACTAGGACTCTCGCACTAGGACTCTCGCACTAGGACTCTCGCACTAGGACTGTCACACTAGGACTCACACTAGGACTCTCGCACTAGGACTCTCGCACTAGGACTCGCACTAGGACTCACACTAGGACTCTTGCACTAGGACTCACACTAGGACTCACACTAGGACTCTTGCACTAGGACTCTTGCACTAGGACTCACACTAGGAGTCACACTAGGACTCAGACTA